TACTTTGTTCTTAAAGTTAAGCATCAAATCTTGAAGGCCTATTAACCAAAAAAAAACTCAGATGTGAATAAGTACGATAGACACTATTTGGAACAACTTAGAACTGCCCTGAAAAAATTTTGCGCAAACTACCTCAATTAAAAGAATTGAAAAGCAAAGAAGAGAATGTCTGCTAATTTTAGTGTACTGTTTTTAAAATTTGTACATTCTTCAAGTTATTCTGACATTGAATTTGTTTTGCAGTGTTTAAATTTTGTTATACATATTTCTCTTCACAAAAATTTTTTTGAATTAGAAAAATGTTGCTTCCAACACTTTGGTTATTTTGTTTAACACTCGGCTTGATTTGCCCTCCATCAACTACTTTTCCCTTCTTTCTACATAGGGTATTATGGGGGTGGGGCCTAAACAAGAATTCACAATTACCCTCTCGCCAGCCTTCCTCCCCCCAACATTACTACATGGGCTGCAATGGGTTTGAGGTAAGCTTAGAGTTTGGGGAACGATGTGATTTTGGGTTGGGGTTTTCCCATTATATTTCCTCCAAAAAAATCTAACTTATACAAGTCAACAAAAAACGAGCACAGAGAGAATTAGCATGTGCATCTTAATTTAGTTGTGAATGAGTAGTAACCCTATGCAGCGCTAAGCGCAGTAATATTTAAATATGCATGACTTTTGTATGAATGAACATTTGAATGAAAGCAAAACAATTGTTTAAAAAAAAGAATGACAATCTTGAGGGCGTCTCCAAGTGTGACCAGGTGGCAACAATACACGCTAAGAAATTGTTTCAATTTTTTCAAATAACTTTTGCAAAAATTATTAACCTATTATAATCAATTATATTGGATTTCCAAAGAAATTTAATCAATTATAAAGGATTTCGTTTTGACGGATTAGGAAACAAAAATCATACAAATTACAATGACAAGTATAATGACTATGATTTATAATGACAATCATCGGACAAGCTTTTGTGTCTTCAGTTGACTTTTTTCACGAAACTCTGGTGCAAGTTCACAAATCAACATCACGGACAAATTTACTGTGCTGATTTCAAGTAACCAAACGCGGAAAGCAAAAAGCTCGAAGATTAAAACGCGGTGCTCTAAAATGAAGTAAAAATTAAATGAAAGGTGAAGAAGCCAAAATTTGCCCTAATTTATAGTAGATTTATAATAGTGCATTTTACTTTGCAAAGTTGGGCCCAAATTTTAAACATAAGGCCTATCATCGTTGGCTTTTCAGTAAATCAAAAATTATGCATAGACTACCAATATAAAAAATTGTGTCAAACTGAGCCTCTCGCGTAGCAAAACAAATCTTTTATTTTAACACAACGTTTCAAACGAACTGTATTTGCTGTTTTTGATCACAAACAGAACGTGAAATACTTCTCAAATACCCTTTTGACAAAAAATGACATTAGACCGAGGATCAATGAAGAAATGTTTCCAGGACGACTATTTTTTGATTGAAAAAAATTTTGTGATTTGGTGTTTTTTTTTTCAATTCATAGGGAAATGGAATACCGAAGATCAGATTAATTGTCAAAACTGCACTAGATTAACTAACAACAAAAAGGATTTGTTACACCAAAAAAAAACTTTTTGAAAAAGAATACTTTTAGTAATTAAATGTTTGGCTAGAAAATTTCTGATGGGTAGATAACCTCAGTTTTATGTCTGAGTTCGTCTCGGAGGTTTCAACGAAGATAATTCCCATTGAAAATGTTTTCGAAAACTTTCAAACGAAAAAATTTGAGGTATTTTTTTTCTAAAACTCCTATTTCATCAGCTAAATAATTGTTTGCGTACATAACCAATTGCAGAGTTATGAACGACGTGTTCCTGTTAAGTATTTGTTTCTTCTCATAAATCTTCCTCTCATAATTCTTCTCAGCGATAAGTTATTAATGTTTTTATTTCAGACCTCGAAATAAAACTTACTCAAATCTAAATATAGATTTGGAAATTTTAGCATTGAAATGCTGGTTTCGAAATTTTCGGTTTCAAAATATAAACTAGCTGCAAACTTAACTGGCTTAGATTTTATCTCCTTTTTTTTGTCATATTTTTCTTTAGAACAGGCTGAAATACAAACATCTTTGACCAACTTGCGGTCTGTGGCTCTGTACCAATCTATTTCTAATCAAGTTTTGGCTTAATTGAACTTTTTTAGATAAAAGACGGGTATTAAAATTTTTATGGCTTATAGAAGTCTCAAAAGGAAAAAAAGGTTTATTTTTCTTTTATTAAAAAAGCTAAGTTTGCGAATTTGGTTGGCAGCCAAAGTTTCTATATTTGTGGTTTTTCAAAATTTTAATTTTTGTGAACTAAAAGTTTTCGAGTCAAGAACCATATTTCTTTTTTGTCTATGAAACAATATGAGAGACAGATCAACCTGGACCAGCTTGAGCTGAGTTGTTTTTTTCCAATCTCTACTCAATCGGGTTTAAATACTGGGATAAAGATTGGACATCATTGTGGCTTGTTGCTTATGGTCAAAATGACGTCTATTGGTTCTCTTTAAATGAAAAAATACTTAGTTTTTGAAATTGTAAAACATCAAAAAAATCATCAAAGATTTATACCAATTTTTCTTCTTTTTTTTTGCATAAAGATTACAGTTTGAGTCAATTTAACTTTTTGCAAAAAAAACCGGACAGTCCAGGCTTGGTTCCTGGCAAATTTTGTTGAAAAGTAGTCCTGGACTCTTTGTCCGAATCTGCAAGTCCAATGCAACTCCTGCATTACTTTGGCATGATTTTTCCTTGTCCGGCCTGACTCCAGTAATGTCTCCAGATTTGGAATATTATGGATATGAAACCCGGCGTTCTCTAAAGCAGACTTTCTGATAAACATAAAGTTTCATTTAAGCTTGTATAATTATTGTTACGACTTTCGATACGAAAGTAACGGAATATTTGTGCTCTTGGTGGGTTTTTTTCTTCAGACAAGTTTCGACTTTTTAACTAGCCATTTTTGACGGAATTTTTTTATCATTCAAAAGGTATTGTTGTCCTGAGTTCAAATTTGAAAAGATATTTCACCTGTGATCTTTTTTCGTAAAGTTACATGGGTTTTAAGATTGCCATTTTGGCAAATTAAGGGACAATTAACGCACGATATATTTTGCGCTATTAACGCGTAAACGGAGAGTTAATCCGTCTTAGAAATCGTTCCAAATTGGTTGAAAGAAGCTTATTAGCCATAATTGATTTGTGAAAGGTGCGAAATCTATCCTTTTGCGCTTTATATGGCGTGTGGGGAGATGATTTTCAAAAAAAAAATCAAACTTTAGAAAAAAAAATTTTGATTTTTTTTTCTTTCATTTATTTTTTTATATATTACTACTGCTCCATAAACCTTAGAGGGCAGTCGGAACATTGGGCTTCGCCCTCCTTATACGAGCAGTCTTGTTAGTTTATATACTTCACTAATGTTTTTTTGCGTAGCCTTTAAACTTGACCTTTAATGTAGCCTGTAAACTGAAAATGGATTGCGCTATGCGGTCTTTTTATCTAACGCGAAAATAGTCAAAAAAAATCTAAGCTAGAAGGAAACTTTCGCAAAAAAAATCACAGGTGGACTTGATTTTGCTCATAATTTCTTTGCAACTTATGGAACGGTTTTGAATCAACTCTCAGTTTTGAATCAAACAAGGAAATTTAGTTCCAAAAATTCCTAAATTTAGTTCCAAATGCATTCTTTTTTACAATGAGCAACTGTTTCCACAATGCATTCAATTAGATCAAATTAGAACTCTTTTGTTCTTTGTGGATCAGGGTTTCGAACACCACTTGGGAATAATCGGGACGCTGCATTTATTTTGAGTCTTGAAGTTTGAACTGTTCTTGACTCTGAGGCAACCTTTATAAATAGAAGTAATTTTTTATTGGATCAAGCATCAACTATTAATGAGGTTTCCTATGAAAAGAAATTCAATACTTGTAATTGGAATGTTTTTACTGTTTTTAGCTCACAACAGTGCCATTTTAATAGACAAAAATTAGGCAAAGTAATGAAGTTATCAATTCGTATCTATTTTTATATAACTGACCACAAAATTTTGATGTATTTTTGCTTTAATTTTTAAATGTAATTCAAGGCACCATTTTTTCATGCCCTCATACAGGCAATAATTTAAGAGAAGGAAAATAAAACGTCTACTGACAAGAAAAAAACGAAAGACGGCCCAGAGCCTAAATGATTTTTTTTGTAATTGCTCACAATTGACAATTGAGCTTCCTCGAAGGAAGACAATATTGTCATCCCAAAACTGTTTCGTTTGGGGCACTTGTTATCAAAGTTAATTTTTTTGCAGACAATTAGATTCAAAGTGTTTAACATGAAGCGCAAATAGTTTTTAGTCCAAGTGAAATTAATGGCGGAAATCTTTACTTGTTCATTTGGCTAGTTGGTCGTTAAATTGGTCCCAGTCTTCATTCAATTTTGCCCAGAATAAGCGGTACGTGCTTAACTTTTAAACACGCCAAGTGAAAATGATTTGGTCTTATACGTGGACAGATTTCCCAACTGGCTATCCGATAAAACTTCTTTTTCAATTAGGGTTTCCAAGTCTGCTGATGTGAATGCTATGTGATCACACAGTACCAGTAAGCCCATTTATAGTCTATTTCCATACTCCCTTGAGGGATAACACTGTGATAAAATTTGCATGTCGTGTATCTGGCATACTGTAACAGCGGCTTTACGTCAAAAAGTCCTCACACCAGCGAAACTCAACCATTTAGACCAAGCATGTTTTGAAAATTATGCTGTAATTTTTTTTCAAATTCATCTTCTTTGAAAGTACTTTAAGTTTATATGCGTATTTTTGCAAAAAAAAAATCTATGATTCTTATTCAAATTATTCGAATAACTGACAATTCGGCTTCAAGACCCGTTAGCATTTTTACCACAACTGAGGCGTATTTTTTACTATTTTTTCTCCAATCTTCACTAGCAGAGACAATTCCGTTGTGGCATGGCGCTATATCACGCTGAAAATTGCGGAAATTTATGTAGTGCTGTGTTTCCAACGCGTGTGTGTTGCACACACAGACTAACGAAAAAAAATCAGCTTTATCTTGCGTTGAGTAATTTGAGGAAATACCTTACCACCATTTTTTCTACGTTTTTCAACATTCGCACAACTGTTGCTAAGTTGCAGCTCTTTTTCATTCACAAAAAAGTACTCTAAAATCGACTTAAAAATAAAAGCTGTTGCCTTTCCAATTTGATGGTTCAGTCAATTGAAAAAATATTTACGGAATAAAAACAGTACACATTATTTTTAGTTAGCTGATTTTTACTTAAAGAAATGTGGTTTCCTACATTGATTCCATTTTGGAATTTAAAAAATTGATGCACTAGTTTAATAATTACAACCCTTTCGTTTTAACAGCAAAAGGCGTTTGAGTCACTCTGTGTTCTTTGGGCATCTGAAATTTATTTAAAGACCCCAATTGCACCAGAGAGTTGACATAGTTATCTTATTCTCAAAACGCGATTACATTCAAACGATTTCAGTTCTTTATATGACAGCCTTGCTGAACTGTACCAACAAAACCACTAACAACGGCCAACTGATTCTAATGGTTAAGTGTGGTAGTGGTATATTTTATGTTTCATAGTATATAGCATATATAGAACGCGTTTAGTGTTATAGCGAACCAACAAACCGTAAAGCAATTTTATCCCTCTCATTCCAAGAGAACTATTTCTGAAACGACACACCATTTAAATAAGATTTCAGTTTCACTCTCAAGCCATATTTATTCTTTTTACATCTACATCTATCATACAAGAAAACCTTCACAAATACCATATTTTACCAAAAATGACTACACAATTGATTATTTGATTTTTATCAATTGAAAAAACACGATTTATCGCGTTTTTGCAGATGTTTCAACTGCTCTTTCTTATTGTTACAAAAACTGAGTTTGCTGTAATAGAATTCTCAATCATTGTTCCGGCTTATTGAGGCCGTTCGTCCACGAAATAATACATTCTTCAGTAATTTTACAGTTATGGATCAGCAATTTGATCAAAACAACGCCGTTTTTCGCAGTCGAAAACCTGTCAAATTTTTGGATTTCAACCAAATTTCACAAAAAATTGTGCAAAGTCACGCCTCTTCTTCAAACGGATTTGAAGCTAAAATCCAGAAACCGGAACCTAAAAAAATTACCACGATAGAAAATTGCGTCATTCCTGATGATTTAGTTTTTTCATCTGATACTAATTCTAGTCAGAAAATTTCAACCCCCCTGCCGAAAGCGAGGAAAAAACTGAGGAATCAACGGGGGGAAGTGGTGCAAATTAACAATAATCAGAGCAGCGAGGGTGGGGCTCATTTTGCAGATTACCACAAATTTACTTGGGGAGTTTCGCCAGAGAGTTCAATAGCTTCCGGGTCAGGTCAACAGGCTTTGCGAAAGGTGATTATTTGTTCATTAGGAGTGTGTGTAGGTTTTCAAAAATTTATAGGTCAATTTTCTAATACTAGAGAAATTCTCAACTCAACAAAAAATCGGGAAAACTTTGAGTCTTCATAAATTCTTAAATTGATAAAAGTTTTGGTGAGGACATACTACAATGAAAATACATGTCCCAAAAAATTGATGTTTATATTTGTTGCTAAAAAAAACTTACATGTTTGCATGAAACAGCCGGCATTGAGTTTGTTTAACTTCTGTGTAAATTTTCAAACTTACGATATTTTTCAATCATACTTTTTGGCATCTTTTTATAGGAACTGGAAAAAGCCGAGTTGCTTCTCAACCAGAGCATAGAGCGCTATAGGTCACTGACCTCTGAGGTCACAGCAGTCACTGGGGTTAACAACCTAGAAGAGGTCAAGATGAAAACAGGCACTAAAGACGCAATCCGAAACGAATTCCGAGCTCTTCTCGAGGAACACGACTGCTCCGGAACCTCGTGTACAACTTCGGTTAACAGTATGAACAGTAATTCTCCACCTCCGAACGGTTTCGTGGACCTAAACGATTCTTCGCAATCGCCCGATAAGTGGCAAAATCAATCTTCGGTTATGAATGGGGGCGACGCTGTTGGCACAAGTGGCGAGTTGAAATGTCCCCTGTGCAATTTGAGGGTAAGTTGCAGTCCGATAAAACTGAATCCATTAAATCCATTATTCGTGACTGATAATTTTAACTATTCATGTTTATCATGAAAAAATGAAGTTTTTCTTAAGACTCGCCTGCAAACTTTTCTTAGACATGTAAAACAGACAATTCCAAATCGAAGAAAAAATTTAAAAAAAAACGAGAGAATCAGTTGAAAAATTGTTCTGTTTAAGTCCAAAACTTCTACAATACAATGAATTCAAAACTGAGACAACCTTTGGAAAACAAATTTCGCATTTGATCAAACAATCAAACAAACTTTGGGCGGGATACACTTAGAATTGGAACCAAAAACATTTGAACTTCTATATAATTGATCCCACTCGCAATTATAAATCAATAAATTCAAACTCATCAATGGACTGTCTGGAAAACACGTATGGCTTTTGATAATTCGTTTATTGATTTGTAATTGTTTTTTATCGTCACGAAGATTTGCTTAGTTTTTTGTTTTACAAATCAAATCTATTTTCTGGGTTTGAATTTTTCAAATATCATTTCAAATGGTAAGTTTTGCAATGAAAGTGTTTATTGGCACAATCTCAAATCTAATTGTAATACAAATTTGTCGACGATTGGTTGAATTTGAATGTTTTTGGATTTTTTCTAATTTTCAAAAAAAAATCAATTACAAAAATTCGACCATTTTTTTTCAGCTGCCTTACCTAGATTACAGTGGTCGATACTAGTGTTGCAACAATAGTTGGAACGTTTGAACGTTCATTCGCGAGATTGACGTTCGAATGCTAATTTCATCAATCGAATATAGATTATTCTAGAACAAAGTTGTCATGTCCATGTGAGTGTGAATAATTGCAATTCACGCATGCTGCTCTGTAATTGGTCGAAAAGGATCAAAATCGCATCGACTTTTATTTAAATTAGTTCGAAATGATTGAAGTGAATAATGGCAGCTATTAACCATGTGTGATAATTGGGATTTGTTAACTACGTGACTCGAAATTGAATATTTCATTATTTTTTTGCGAAGGTTCCAGTTTCTTGTAGAAAAAAAACTACTGCTCAGAAATTTTGGGAAGTTCAAGATTCGTGTCAAATGGGATCAAGTTAACATCCTCCCTCCGTCAAAGATCAAGTTTATAAGATCCTCCACCCAGAGCTTAAATTAAATTAAATTTGCTAAGCGCTGCATGTAAAATGCTCGATTCTGATTGGCTGAAAATTCCCAACTTAACATCCTCCACCCTAAACGTGTTTAGGGGGGAGGATGTCAACTTGGTCCGTCAAATGTTCGAACTCTTGATTTGAACGTTTGTTGCAACACTAGTCGATACAGTCTGTGCTAGTTGGTAAATTTTAGGTAAATTTACCTATAAAAAAAATTTTTAAGGCGTTTTTTAAGGTTGATACACCTTAACTTTTAAGGTGATTTAAGGTAAATTTTTAACGTGTTTTAAGGTAAGTTAAGGTGTACTTAAGGTAGTGCAAAATTACCTTAATTGTTAAGGTGTTTTAAGGTATTTTTTAAGGTAAATTTACCTTAACTTTTTTTTGAGTGCAGCAACCGGCTATCTTGGTTGAAAAATATTTTTGTTTAAATTGTTGTTCTGGTGACTATTTATCTCTGTTCAGGTTTTGTTAGACGTGCTTTGTTTTTTTCTTTCAGGTGACTACCTCTCTCTTCACGCCTGTGGTTCTTCTCCCCTGCCAACACGTCATCTGTGAAGTGTGTGCCGACCTCAGACAGTCCTCCCCCCTCACCCACTGTCCTGCCTGCTCCTGTGTTGTGGCCACAGTCCAGAAGGCTTCCTCTTTTCTTAATAAGGTCAGTGACCTCCTTCGATCTACTTTTTAAATTAAAAAATGTAAAAAATTTCTGACTAACAAAATCTTTTTGTTATTGTAGACAGAGTTTTAACTATAGTCTTTGTTGTTGACTCATTCTTTGTTGTTGGCGCTAGCGTCTTTTAAGACATGAGGGACTCTATACATCGAGGAGGAGGCGTTCCCCATCACTTAATTCCCTACTAGTGAAAACAGTCCTTTACACGCTTCGAAGAACCAACATTATGTCACTTCAAAAGAGGCAACCCCATATTAATTTTATAAATGACCCGCCAAAAAATTTGTAACTAAAGCATATAATGAAAAATTCAGTTTCACAGTCATATCAAAGAGACATCCGAAAAAGATAAGTTTGATCAATGAAAAATGCGAAATGATAATTATGAAATTTCAGTCAAATCATCTCGTGAACCAATCAGATTTGGGCTGTGGTGACGACATCTCGACGAGTGTTGCCGACGCTTCATGCAGTTCGGTCACCACAGTGCTGACGACAGACAGCGACACGGGGTCAGCTAGGGTAGAGCCGACAATGTCAGACGCCGAACAACTATTCTTCATCCGGGAGGTCAAGTTCAAAAAACAGATGAACAAGTTAGAAGTCGAAAAAGAACAGGTACAATCGAATTCGATTTAATGAACATTTGATGTACTGAAAAATATTTGTAAAGTAGTAAAGAAATATAATTGAACGACAGGAAAATAAAAAAGTCGACAGCTTTTAAGAAATCAGATAAACCGAATTATACTTTTTCAGACGCAAGCAAAAATGCTATTCGCTATCTCGGATTTCAAGAATCATGATTTCTCAAAAACATTTGTTATTAATGAAAAGAGCAAACATAAAACCAACTAGTTTTTGTGCTTTAGCATGAAACAAAAAAAACGTTTTTAAGGCGAAATTAATCACACTACTCGCTACTTTGGCAAATCAGAAAAGCAAAACGCAAGTGTATAATTGAGTAATTTTGATTTTTTTAGATCGTTGAAGCGGAAAATGCAGTTGCCCGACAACTCGAAAGCATTCAAACAGAAGAATCAAAAGTCATGCAAGAAATTCATATTCTGGAAGAAAAGTTGCACCACCTCCGAATTCTGAAAGAGGAACACAGTAAAACATTAGACGACCTGGTCCAAAAAGAAGACAAAATAAATGTGCGACAGTTTTTAGTGCAGCGATCCCTGGATAGTATTGAATTTCAGCGATTAGAACAGGAAATTGTCAACGAAAGTAAATAGCGCTTTAACTCTAATCGTATTTCATTTGAATCACAATGTGAAATTTTGTATATTAGATTGCTTATACCCTTTAGTTAATTAATTTAATATCTGTTAAAGTCGTTTTTCATATATCAACACTAGAATCATTTCGAATTAGCAGCTAAAACTTTTTTGGTTACAAGCGAGCTCAATTTTCATTATTTTTGGCGATTAAACTTCTTGAACGCATTTTTTTGTTTTGTTTCAACTTAATGAGTTCATTTATATTGCATCCAGGCGTTTTCGTTTTTTTAAAGTTAACGTTCGTAAATTCAATTATTACTTGACATTCAAAGCAATTTGATTTAAGTAAAAATTATGTATCATTTGATGAATTTCAACAAATATGCATGTTCTGGAAAATGTTTAACGGCAAAGTCAGGCATAATCAAAGGCGAATAACTTTTTTCATATCTCTGTTGTTCCAACTACTAAACTTTCATGCCGATGGTGCTGGCATTTTCTAGTCACTCTGACCTCCACTTGGCCCGTGTGCCTCTAATATATATGTTGGGTGCTGTGAGTCGGTACCACTTTGTACTCAATCAATGTGCAATTCTTTTCAAAAAGCGCGTAACCTCGTGGATTAAACTAAATATGTCGGTCTTCACAAGCTAGTATGCCCTTCTTCTTTTTTTCTTTCTCAGCAGAAGTCAAAATAATCGTCGGGTTACGATTCAAGTAAGACGGAGAAGCTGTGTGTGTGACAAAGATCGAACGACACCGCTGACTAGTGGTTCCAAACACCACAAGCCATAAGATCCACAACTGAAGCTGGGTACAACGTTCACTATATGCGTTTTTTATAACGTGTTCTAATTTCGCGTCTTTTCCGAGCATGGAAGCCAGTTATCCTATTGCATCAAGACTAGACTTTAAATATGGTGTAATGCAAGAGATAGGTATCTTTTTGGCAAGAGAGAGCGTGTTGTAGGTCAAACTCTTTTTGACCATCAACACACTTGGAGTAAGCTTTCAATAGAGGTTTTCCTATAACTAGTACTCAAAGCGTCTCCGAGCTCAGTCTTTGAAAGCGCAATGTAACCTTTTCACAGCGGCAATGAAATCAAACACAGGGAAAAGGTTTTGTTTATACTTCTCCAAAGTGCACAGGTTTGATCAGCTGTCAAAACAGCAAATTTTACTCCTTCGTTTTACTAATTGCAATCAAATTCTGTTTCGAATTGCAAGATAATTTTTTACTTACATGAGTGGAACAATTCAAAAACTCAACAACAAGAATGTACTGTATTATTTTCCCGTAGAAATCTGTTATTCACATGAGTTTGTTTTCGGCAAGTGTTTTGAACTTTTGCAAATATTTCCAAAAAAACGGACCAATAGAATAGAACTTCTTTATACGGAACTTGTTACGGTTTCCTAATCTTTAGACACGCATAAATTTTCTGGTTCTACGTGCCAACCAAACAAACAAAAATTTCAAAGCTGTTACAAAATCAGTCAATTTGTATGCTCCAATCACATTTGCACCCCCTTCTCCTACGCAGAAAAAACAATTGTGTTAAACAGCAAAAGATTGATTTAAAGGTGTCACGTTTTCAATTTTTGATAATTTATTTTCAAGACAAGAACACCTGCAATTTTATAGACCTTTTAATCCTTTCTTTGCTACTTTGGAAATTGCTTTTTTTCTGCGTAGGACAAGAGAAGGTAAATGTGATTGCAGGATAGGAATTAAATGAATTTGTAAAAAATTTTTGTAGCTTTAATTTGTTTGAAAAGCACGTATGATCAATAAATTTATGCATTAACTTCACAAAAAATTGCTTGGTTTATGAACAAATTGTTCAATGCGAAACATAATTAATAAGGATTAACAACCCATTTTAACGGAGTTCAGATGGATTACAATTGAATTCAAATTTCAGACAATAAGGGGCCTTAAACAATATATAATCTATTTTGCTGCCTACGATTGACATGAAAATCAATTTCATTGACAACATTTGGGACCTCACAAATAATCAGATTGGTTAAATTAAGATACTTAAATTAGATTGGTCAACCAAGGTCACCCGAATTGATGTCGCTCCAATAATTTCGAAAACCGTGCAAAAATTTCCTGTTATTTTGGTCTGAAATTTAAATCTGGAGTCATTTTTGTCTCCCAAGGCCGCTTTTACTACTGTTCCACCAGTGAATCCCTTCCTTAAAAAACTGCAATTAAACTTCTTCGAGTTGTTCAATTGATCTTTGCGCGAAAAACGCTTTGTCATTCGGTAGTTCTATAATGATCAATTGAATCATCCGGATAAAACTGATAAAAAAGTTTGGGTGGACTGTAGACAAACATTTTGGTTGACTGTAGCCAAAAAATAATTAAGACAAAACAACGACTATCCGCAGAATTAATGTGTTGCATCTTCTTTTGCAAAAATCAGGACCAACATTTAACCTAAAAAACGATAATTTCCGGTTTTGTTAGTCACTCACAATTTACGCCAAAACTGTTGGTTCAATTGCTAAAAACTGGACGCCAGAATATCTCTTTTAGAGTGTCTCGAGAAAAAATAAAAATTGTTTTTAAATGAAAGAATTGCTCTTTTTTTATTATGGAATTCACATTTTGGCTATAAAAAGCAAATAGATTGAATTATACAAAACTGAAATGATTATAACTCGTTTGAAGTTCTGATCTGCCTTTTAAGAAGTTTTGTTTGATTCTTTTTTGTCAGCAATTGAACAAATAGATGGCGTAATGTTTGATTGACTGAAAACAGCTGAAAATGGTCTTTGTGGGAATAATTTTTAGACCGGATTTCGGTCGAACAAGATGCACTGCAAAAATTTTGCTCGGCAACTTTTGTCTTTTAAGCAAGTTTCGCCTTCATCATTTTTTGTTTAAAATGAACACAATTTGATTTTTGACAAAATTTCAATTTTAAATTTCAAGTTTTATTTTTTTCGGTTAAAATAAATCAGCAATGTGTACAGCCGAGCAAACCACTCGAACCTCTAGATTAGCAGTTGTTATCTCTTTTACCAGGGGCTGCTTTCAGTTTTTGACCTCGTTTTTGTCTGCGACTTTTATTGTAAGAAAGTCAGAATTTATGCAAGAATCTGCTTGGCAAACTGATACCTGGAAGACTAATTGACTATAGATGGCATCACGAGGCCAAACTGTACCTTTTGTAGAAATTGTAAAGAGGCTGAAAAAAATTGTCAATAAGCCCGCTAAAAAAACTGTATTTTTTTGCTGTTGTGGAAACCAGAAACAAATAGTAAGAGCATTGTGCAGCTCCAAAATCAAAGCTCATTTGTTTGATTTTTTCTTTGAGTTTTTTTTCTAGTTTTGTCGAAGGTTGCAGATTCCGTGGCATATTCTACCTGCCGACTAAATTGAGTTACAAGGTGTTTGCTCATGGACTCCTAAACACTTGGGTGATGGATTCGGCAGATAGATCTGCTATTTTTAAAGGCCCATCTCTGAATTACTCAGACACAGTGTAGTACGTCTTTTTATGATACACTTTGAATGATATACATCTTTTTATGATAGACGTGGGGAAAAAATTAAGCTAACCACTTCAATTTTTACGAAATCATGACAACGGGCTCATTTACATCATTGGCACGAAAATTCGGTTTGTACCCATTTTATTTGAGGTACCTAACGTGACGACAACAGCTCTCCTCTGGGTGGATCTTCATAAAAAACCTGGCGTTCAATTGAGCCTGCATTTCAATCACATAATCTGGTTATAGGACAAACCTGTTGCTAATTTCAATAAACTAGCGAAAATTGACCAGGAAATGACCACCGATGAAAGTTTCAGACCATTTCGGTCAAAAATTGGTTTTTTACCAGTCTTTCCTCAAGAAAAGCAATATTATTGGCTTGCGAGGAGGAGACAAAGTCTAGTGTCTTTAGCAACAGAAGGAAAGAGATCCTTGTTCCGAAAGGCCTTTCAGAGCCAATTCAAACCAAAAGTTTCCTTTCGATTTTTCTTATCTTTAAAGAAGCATACTCTGTCTGCATTTTTTCACTGCCCAAGTCAAAACTGATGGCTTTTAAAAGGTCATTCAAAATTAGGAGTGACTAAAAACGAGACCTATTTTTGTCTTTAGATGGGACTTTTTTGTTACCCGTAACAAAAAATAGCCGTAACAGAATTTCAAGTAATATTTTAAAATTTCATATTGTGAGTCAATAACAACATGTATGTCCTTGTTAGTTGTTGGGACATTATTTTCTGTCTGTTGGCAAAATGGGACATTAACCAATTTAAACTTGTGTCATTGAAATTATCTCACAAATCTTTCAATCTTAGTTAGACTCTCTCAATCTTCGTTAGTATCCTCGACTTTCTTAGCGAATGCGTTTCGCCCAGTCGAATTTCCAAACGACAGAAAACTTAAGTGCACTTTAAAAATGAGAAAGAGGGCGGATATATGACTCATGTGTTGGAAAAAAAAGTAGTCAGAAATCCTGCAGCTAGTTGGAAACATTAACCTGAATGTAATTCACCCTTTATTAGTTCTAAAAGCTCATTTTTTGTACTCACTTTGTATTGTTATCAGCCTCTTGTTATATATAGTTTTAAAAATTATCTCTATCAATTTCATGTAAAAGCAAACTATTCTTTTTTTTGTGGTTCTCGGAAAGGATGGCCATAGGGCCGTTCAGTTTGGTTAGTTTTGCTCGAAACTTCTTTTGCAAGAAAAAACTCTAACTTTTAGATATTCTGATTCTGATTCATGTTTTTCTGAAGAACTATTTTTATCGCGTAGATAACATATCAACTATTTACTCTGAATTCAAAACTTGCCTCACTTGATACTAACTTGAAGCAAAACTAGTAGGGTTGAAATGCAACACTTAATTTTGAGCTCATTCTTTTTTGCAACTTTCCTAAGTGTAAACTCAATAATTCTTATAGAATTCGGTCGACATATTGATAATCTGAATCCCAAAATTGACGATGGATGCGGTGCCGAGCAAAAACTAAGCACAAATTTCAACTTTTACGGAGCAAAATACTCGAGTTTTTGGGTATGTAACAACGGATTCATCTCTTTCAGTGGCGCATATACTCGATTCGTACCCGTTGCATTT